TGAGTAAATAACCAAAGCTGGAGAATAAAATTGCTTATAGTAATGTGATGAGTTATCTAGAAAAATATTTACAAGCATTCATCTTGAAGATGCTAAGATTAAAACATTGGACCAGAATGGAGTAAAGGACAAGCAACTATAAACCAGAGACACACTCTGGGGTGAGGGGCAGGAAGAGGAAGGATTAGGGTCAAAATAAGGGGGGGTGCAATTGTATGGGTGCAATATAACCAAAATGAAAATGCATACATTGTACAAAAATGAAAAATGATGTAAGAATTATATAAAATAAAATATTTTAAAAAAAGAGAAAATTAAAAAAAGAATGGAGTAAAGGCGATTTTCATGAAATACTTAGTTTTCCCATATTGTTGATCATAAAATCATTGTTAGCAAAAAGCCCTCCGTGTGACTCATCTAACCACACTGTTTCTTTATGAGTTAGCCTTTACCCTTGAGCTCACTGTTTTTGGTTTGTTGTAGGAAATTATAACTCCTGGCTATCGTTGTAGGAAATTTAATGTAAAAACACTCATATTTGTACCATTTAATACTGAACTTATAAATAACTCAAGTAGCATGAAGAATTGTTCAGAGACTTGGAATTACGGAAACCCATCTCTTTCCCTTACCTACCAATTTTGATGTGATGCTCCCCAAATAAATGGTGTTTGTAAAAGAAAAAATAAAATACTATTTACCATCCTTGATGACTGAGTTTTCGGTGCCCCCTTCAGCTTGCACCAGAGTTGAGTGCCTGACTCAGCTGACCCTCGCCCTGCCTGAGGAAGGACTCACCCACCACCTGGCACCACTTCCTGGGTGCCTGGGACACCCCGCAAGGGTGCAAGCATCAGGGACCCAACAGCAGTGAAATCATTGTGGTTCTGTCTCAGTTTGTGACCAAATAGAACTGGGAACACTGACCTCCCCGCCCCAAAGTTAATAGTCCACGTAAAGCTTTTGACTTCCCCAAAACTTGACTACTTTGCCTGCAGTTGACCAGAAGCCTCATCGATGACATAAACAGTCCCCGAACACATACTCAGTATCTACTGTGAACTGTATTCTTACAGTGTAGCAAGCTAAGACAAAAGACAATATCGTTTAAAAAAAAAAAAAAACACACAAGAAAAGGGCCTATTTGGTGGCACAGGGGTTAAAGTCTCAGTCACTACGGCATGAGTTCGATCCAGATCCTGGCCAGGGAGCTACCCACATGGCGCAGCAGACCTCTCCTGTCTCGCCCACTGCTCCCTCAGCAGTGTGTTTCAGTAGATCCACCTGTTCTGCTCCCCACTCTGTCTCTGGTGAATCTTCTCACCCCCCCATCTCTGACCTACACCCCAGTTTTTGTATGTATAAATAAATAAAATAAATCTTTAAAAAAGTCACAAGGAAGAGAAAACACCCTCACAGTACCAGACTATATTCTCAGTACTGCAAGATTATGTCGACAATCCAAGCGTAAGTGTGTCTACACACTTGAAACTGTGGTGTCGGGGGCAAGTGTGATAAATGAGAGGTACAGAGTCTTGGGAGGTGGGCACATCCCGTGCCAGCCAGAATGAAAGGAAGAAAGCATGGTCTAGGATGGGAGAGACATTTGACTTGTTTCATTTCCTGGTTTTGCTCACCCACTCTGAACCCCGATTCCTGGATCTTGCTCCTTGAGCCAGCCCCTCCTCTACAGACACTGAAAACAGCCTTAGTCAAGGTCTCAGGCTCCCTGCGGCCTTCATGGTTCACTGATCAGATGCCCCAGCCCAAGAAGCAGAGCACCCTCTACGGAGCCCCTAGGACAGCAGCTCGGGCTGGGGGTTGGGTTGGCCCACGCTGGCACAGGGGCACAGCAGGTGAGCTTGGAGCCAGGGCAGAGCACTGGCCACATGCCCCAGTGTCTAGCCCACTCCCGAGTCATGAGTCACTCAACATTCCTTGAATATCCTTTTGAATATCTATTCTTTGCACATCCTTTTCTGCTTAAGTTAATCAGCGTTGATTTCTGTTGCCCGAAACTAAGAATGTTGCCTTATATAGAAATCGGTGCGGGAGGTGGTTGCAGGCAATGGATGTTGGAGAAAATTCAGAGACGTTGGGATTGGTTATATGGGCTGCTTGGGGCGGAAGACAGGAGAGTCAGTGCATATAAGGGAGTGGGTCTGGAGGCCGAGGGCTTGCAGGGAAACTCAGGTTTGCAACCTGGAAGGCCCTGGAATGAAGAGGCCGTTGATGGCAAGGCTTTGAGCCTGAGACTCCGCAACTTGAGAAGAACATAAAGGAATGAGGAATGAGACTGCAGGATGGGCTGCCGGCTCCTCCAGAGCTGCACAGTTGAAGAAATGGAAGACATCCTCCTAAACCCTAAATTTTTGGGCTCAAGAACCAAATTGAAAACTGAGGACTTCTATGGGAAAGACACCCTTCCGTTCTCACAGCCGCAGAACTATGACAGTCAAAACCCAAACTCCAGATTTGAACCTGGGTTCACCCTGTGTTGGAGCATGCTGGGCACACACCCACAGCTGTTTCTGCAGTCTAGAATGTTCTAGGTGGGCCTCCCCAGTGGCGCAGCAGTTGAGCGCTGGGTTGCAAAGCTGCACGCAGCCTCTGTGGCACCGGTTGGATCCCCGGCTGCTCCCCGGCCACCGGAGGAGGGTCCCACATGGCGCGCAGACCTCTCCTGCCGCCCGCTGCTCCCCTCAGCAGTGTACTTCGGTCCTTCTGCCTGCTGTGCTCCCCGCTCTGGCTCTGGTGAATTCTCTCACCCTCCCGCGCTTCTGACTGTACCCAGTGCTTGTATGAATAAATAAATAAATCTTAAAAAAAAAAAGGGGGAATGGTTTCATATTTTCCATGACTTTTCGAAGTAAAAAAAGCAAAAACACAACAAAACTGAAAAATGATGTAAAAAATATATAAAATAAAATAAAAATGCTAGAATGTTCTAGGTCTTTACCTCAGTGTCACCTCCTCACCAATACCTTTCCTGCCCACCTTTCTGAACTGATAACCTGCCTCTAAGAATTCCTGTTTTAATTTTCCTCTTAGTGCATGTCATTATCTACCACGGTGCATTTTTTTTCTAACATGGTGCGTTTTTACGTCTTCCTGCTGTCTATCCCCTCTGCTGCGCCAGGAGGGCAGGGGATTTCACCTATGCTGTGTCTCCAGCATTTCCACAGTGCCTGGGGCATTTTAAGTGTGCCATAAATACTCATTGAATGAAAGAATAAATTGGGGTTCAGGCCCACTGACTATTGGTCAGTTAATTTCCCATTTTTCCAAACCATAAGACGGAAGAGTGGCCGGTCACATCCTTAGCCGATGCCACAGGAGCTCAGGCAGAAGGGGAAGTCTTGCATGGAACCACGTGGGAGGGTTTGGGGTGACCTGACCTCCTGGAAGCCCTCCCTGTTGCTGCCTTCACAGCCCCCCTGCAAGGACCTGTCAGGCAGGCCCCTGCAGAGGGGAGGCCGAGCCAGCCCAGGGGAAATGAGATCTGAGCGAGCTGGTAAAGTGATGCTTAAGGTCAAGGGTTTTGAAAATGAATAGACCAACCTGGTGCCGACATCGTCTTCCCTGAGTGGGCAAGGCTGTTAGGGTTAGGTTCAGGGACACAGCACAGAAAACCCAGAAGAACAGCTCCACTGGAAATTTCTTTCTTCCATGACCCCACCACACCCCCACCCCCCACCCCTGAACTAGGCAGCCGGTGTCAGTACTGTGGCCCCTCCAGCCTGCTTCACTAATCTCGGCACTTGACTTTCACCTCGTGGCCAGGGACGCTGCTGCTTCGGCGCCGGACACCGTGTCTGGATTATAGCCCGCGGGCAGAGAAAGGGCTGAGGAGCACGCCTCCCCTCCAGCAGAGGGGCTTCTGGAAGAATGCCATTTTAGCTCAGGGGTCTGAGACACAGAGTGGGCCCCAAGGCCCTGGGAGGCGGCTCTGCTGCCTGGGACGAGAAGGGAGTGATGCAGGCAGCTCTTTCCCATGACTCCCCCAGTCGTCCGTGGAAACACAGCTGTTGGCAGCTGCCACACGCCACAAGCATGGGGCCCTCCAGTTTCCATCACCTAGTGGGGCTGCCCCTCCTCCCTGGCCACAACCTTTTCCCGTGCCCCAGGGAATCTAGAACACTGGGAGTTTGGGGGCCCCACAGACTGGGCTGGGCAGGCTGGAGTAGGGTCTGCACCCACACCCACAAGTAGACTCCCCTGCCTCCAGTGTGGGGCTAGGAATCCCAGGAGGATGAAAACCAGATTGCTCTAGAATCCCCTAGCAGAACCCAACACTTCTGGGCACCCCAGAAGGCAAGCAAGTGACCCAGTCAGTCAATCAACCAGTCAAAAGTTATTCCAACCAACCTCAACTAAGCTGTCACCCAGCTTCCACGTAGACACTTCCAGTGACAGGGAGCTCACTGCTTCCAGGGGCAAATGGGTTGAGTTGTAGATGGTGCATATGATGGTGCTTTAGGATGTTTTTTATGGGGTAGTACCCAAGTCATCACACAACCCCGCAGCTGAACCCCACAGCTGAACATTGGGGGTTAGAAGTCTCCTGGCCATCTTGGGTGCTGGCCAGAGAGGTCACTGGCCCCAGGTCACCCAGCTGCTAAGGGCTGAGCGGAGAGCAGACCTGAGGCCCGACTCTCAGCTGTGTTCCTTCTCAAGCCCACAGCCCATCAGGGAGCCCATCAGGGAGCCCATCAGGGAGCCCCTCAGGACCTCCTTCCCCCCCTGAGTGCCCCTCCCCGCCAGGCCTTCCCCATGGTACCTAGGCCCTGCTTCCCCCCGGGTGCCCCCAGGCTGGAGAGTCCTTCTCCCCTCACTGCATGGGCAGGCCCAGGGCTGGGACCTGGGACCAGTGGAGGGGGCTGCAGTGCCTGCCCACCCCCACAGGCCTCCCTGGGGTGGCCTGGCCCATGGGCACGTGCGTGTGACAGGCGCTCAGCCTCCAGCAAGCTGCGGGCAAGCCCTGCCAAGGCGGGAAGGGAAATTGCCGCGCGATGCCAACAGACAGACCTCCAGTGGGTTCGTTTGCTTTTGTTTTGTGGTTATTTTTTTGTACAACTTTAAATACGGAATATAAATAAATTTTACATTTAAAAAATAAAAGGAAAGCCCCCAAAAATATAATCACCAACTTTACAAACTGAAGGAAGCAGATCTGGGGGAGGCGAGGGGGAAAGTGCAGTGGAAGGTGGGCAGGGAGAAGGAGCGCAGGCCCCGCCCCTCGGGGGCTCTGGGGACCAGCTCCCTGTCTCCCCCACTCCCAGCCCATGAGCTGGTTTCCTGGGAGGAGCCACCGGAGGTGAAACGCAAAAGGATCAAGATGGGGAGATGTGCGGAGGGGGGAGCGAAGGTTGCCCCCTCCCTTGGAGACTTTCTCTTGGGTTTTCACACCTGCCTGGAAGGGGGCTGAGCTGAGGAATCAGGGAAGTGGGGTTCAGATGCCCCCTTTCCCCCTCGCTCTCGTTCAGCCCCTCCAAGCCAGGGGCTGGGTCGGGCACGGCCTGTCTACACGACATGGTGTGAGTTACCAAAAGGACCCCTTTCCTCAAGACACGTCACTCCATCTGCCAGAACTGCCATAAATATACAATTGGCCTTGCGTAGGGTGTGAGCAGCGCCCCCACATGCAGCCCCCCCATGTGCATACCGCACCCCCCTTAGGGCTGGGGTGGGCTGGACTAGGATGGGCAGGACCCTGGGTCCTGGACCCGGGTTCTCCGCCCTCTGGAGCGGTGGCTGGGGGTCCTCTGGGGCCTCACTGAGGGACTCCCCACGGGGGAAAAGGCTATCGGGCCAGGAGAAGAGGAAGATGCAGGGTGGCGGGGTGGAGGTAGAGAGATGAAACGGAGGAGGACGTGACAGGCGGGGGAGCAGGCGTCCAGGTCACCAGCTACACTGACCTCCAGGGCTCACTTCACCTCTGACCCATCTGGGGCACTTGGCTGTCGTGCTCTGGCCACACGCCCCGGCGTGGTCCACACCCCCCGAGACTGCACATGCATATGGTGCAAGGGAGCCATGGGGGGCAGAGGAGACGGGACAGGAGGTGACTGGGCCGGGCCCCGTGGGGAGGGTTTCCTCCAGTCTGTGCTCCCCACGCGCCCTGAGGCACAGGAGCACCAGGTACCCTGGGGCCTGCGCATCCCCTTGACAGCGGCCGGGGTCCCGGGACCAGGCAGGCCACGCCCAGAAGGCCGGGGCCACAGGAGCCTCTTCAGGCCAGTCCACAGCGCGTGGGCGCGGCCTGGGCGGGCAGCTGGGGGAGGCAGCCCTTCCCCCAAACAGCAACCCCATCGGTCTCTCTTGCGCTCTCGTTTCAGATGCTTGGGCCGGGGGAGTGACAGCGACGGAGTCCAGGTCCTTCATTTCCTTCGTGAGCTTCTGGGTAAGATGCTGGAGGCCGCCGAGGGGAGACTCCGCTGGCAGAGGGTGGACGACGCGTGAGGGGTGGGGGAAGCACCATTGGCCGTCCGAATCAGGCATCGAGACAGACGGACGAGGGGAACAATATTATCACTCCAAGGACCCCATGGGGGCGATACAGCAAATACCATATTAAATAACCCTGTGGGCCAAGCAGAGCGACATGGGGTCAGAGGCAGCCGGGCGGCTCCGTCCCAACCACGGCTCACCTCCCCGGGGCGGGAGCGGGGCTCGGCCACTGCCCCCCATTCTCTCAAGGGGACATGGCTGGGCTGGGGTTGCCAAGGCCCTCCCCCACCCCCGCCCGCCCCAGGGGAGAACGGGCTGCAGGAGGGGTGGGAAGAGGGAGGTGTGGAGCCTGGATTTTGTATAAGAAAATGCCCCCCAGCCCCTCCAGAGCCTAAGCCACAGCCAGGAAGAAGGAAACACAGGCTCCGGGCCCGTCTCCCTGCCAGGCCCTCACCTGCCCACACTCTCCAGCAGATGCCCCTAGGCTCCGAGGGTCTCCTTCAGTGCCTTCTTGTCATGCGTGTGCTTGAACTTCCGGTGCTTTCCCTTGGGGGGCCGGCGGACTCTCACTGTCCGAATGGTCACCCGAGTTTGGGGCGTCTTGGCTGCTTGAGAGAAGAAACAATCACATCAGATGGTGGACATCCTCTGGAGGAGGCCTGGGCACTCCACCAAGGCCCAGCACAGAGCTCCCCAGTCCTCTGATCCAAAGAAGGGACAGGAGGGACTCTGGGCCAGATCTCCTGGGTTCAAACCCCAACTCCACACTCACCACGAGTAGGGGCCTCACTGAACCCCTCTGTGCCTCAGTTTCCCCATCTGTAAAATGTCCACCTCATTGGACTTATAGGAGGAACAAACGACATGGTGCAGGCAAACACAGAGGGAGGAGGCTGACTATGACTTCGAGTGCTTTGTCATTACCCTGACATTACCCTGACTAGGATCTGCTGACCAATAAAAGCAGGCAGAGTGAGGACATGCCAATTCCAGCAGAAGCCTGAGCTTCCACTTTGGTGCTTTGGGAAGCCTGTATCACTAGAAGAGAAGTCTGGCTCCCCTGCTGGGGCCAGGGGAGGCCACGTGGGAAGGACAGCTGACGCGGTGAAAGTCCAGTAGAGCCGCCCAGCTGAGCCCCATCAGCACAGAGCGGGAGAGACCATAAATGGCTCTTGAGGGGCCTCCCTGGTGGAGCAAGGAGTTAAGTCTTAGCACTGTGGAGCTATCTGCAACCATTGCAGGACAGGTTTGATCCCCGGCCAGGGAGCTACCCACATGGTGCAGCAGACCTCTCCTGTATCGCCGGCTGCTCCCCTCAGCAGTGTATTCCAGTAGATCTGCCTGTTCTGTTCCCCACTCTGTCTCTGGTGAATCCTCTCACCCCCTGCACCTCTGGCCTGTACTCCAGCTCTTGTATGCATAAATAAATAAAATAAATCTTAAAAAAAAAAAAAATGGCCCTTGAACCTGGCCATCACATCCTTAAGCCACTGAGTTCAGAGTAGGAAGTGATCAGCTAAGACTCACTTTTTTTCTCAGGAAGAGGCAGAAGCCTCTTCCCCTGGGCTCCAGGTTAGACACCTGGCTGGTAGTGAAAGCTGAGCCAAGCTCCAGGTCTGAGAGCTCTCATCCTGAGAGCCTTCCAAGTTTTCCCAGGCCTGCCCATCCAGCTCTTTGAGGCCAGCACCTGTGCTCCTACCTCCCAAACACAAGCTCCAAGGAGGCAGTTACCCCACCTCTGCAAATGGCAAGCTAGGGACTCAGGGCGTCTAGGAGGACACCCAGAAGAGTCACAGAAGGGCCAGGGGTTTTCCACTCCAGAACTCTGGCCACTAGCACAACGCTGGGCTGGGCCAAGTCTGAGCAAGTTCAAGGTCACAGCTCAGAGCAGCAGCAGAGACTTGAGCCTGGGAGGTCTGCCACTGACCACCACATTACAGGGGCCACACCACCAAGCCTGGGCCTGTGGACAGCTGCAGGAGCAGAGGCAAAATACTGCAACTAAAATGACAAGACTTTGTTATTTACAAATGAATTTGTCACACATGCTCCCCCCGGAAGCTAGTTTGGGAGATGGCATGAGACAAAGGCATGTAAAAGAAGCCCATTTTAAACATAGACTATACTTTTTCATAAATAGAAAAACCAGCAGTGTTAACTCCATAAGTCATTTCCATGTCAATTTGAAGCTGCCAAATCACCAGCCTCCAGGGCCTCAGCTCAGCTCAGCAAACAGCTCATAAGTCGCCACCTCCTACAGGTCTGCCTGGATCAGCCTGTGCCGAGCAGCCCCCACCCCAATCTTGCTACTCTAGTCTCCCACTTTGTTGGTTTTTCTAAAAAAAGATTCATTTATTTATGCATACAAGAACTGGGGTACAGGCCAGAGGTGTGGGAGTTGAGAGGATTCACCAGAGACAGAGTGGGGAACAGAACAGGTGGATCTACTGAAATACACTGCTGAGGGGAGCAGCTGAGGAGTCAGGAGAGGTCTGCTGTGCCATGTGGGTAGCTCCCTGGCCGGCCAGGGTTCGAACTTGTGCCACAGAGGCTGCGGATAGCTTCACGGTGCTGTGCTTAACCCCTTGTGCCACTAGGGAGGCCCCTAGTCACCTACTTTGTTAAATGAGTGCATGAACTGGGAGGAACAAGGACCTGAACAAGAGAAGGAGCTAGGCTTGTGAAGAACTCGGAGAGGTGAATTTCAGCTGGATTGGCATGTGCAATGGCCCTGAGGTAGAAACCCAGTCACTCAAGGGGGGCAGTGTGGCTGGGGTACCAGAGAGGGAGACTAGCAACAAAGTCAGGGAGCTACGTCCTCACACAGGGCCTCACAGGCAGGAGAGGACCTTGGATTGTTCTCAGTGAGATGCATTCTACCAGGGTGCACCTGATCCAAATCCCTCCCAAGGAGCTACCACAGGAGAAGGCGGCTGCCCAGCTTAAAGAGTTCGGAGGCAGCCCTGGCTGGGCAGTTACCTCGCTGCTCCTGGGAACTCCCCGGACTTCGGGTCACGGGCCGTGCAGATGCCACCGTCTCACACTTGCATGCCAGGTGGTCCTCCAGGGTCACTGTGGCCTTCTTAAAGCTCGGCTTCTTCCGCACGATCTCAATTTTTCTCACCTGGAGGACAGAACCACCAAAGCACCTGCTTGAACCGCATGGTCAGGGGCCAGGGGAGCCGCTGGCCGGCTCTGCCCACCAGGGCGTCCCCAGCACTGATCTTTCCTCGAAAGCCCGCAGGGCAGCGGCAGGCAGGCGCTGCGGTCAGAACAATAGCAGGACCTTGCCCTCTGCCCCTCTTGTAGCTTTTCCATCAAAACAAGCCCTCCCGACCTGGCCTCTGACTGGGCCGCAGCCCCCCCAGGGTCCCCCAGAGAGGGAGAAAGGCATTTCCGGGTTGAGCGTGGTGTCCTCATTCCCGGAGCGCCAGCCAAGGTCAGGGGTTGTGGCAGAGGCGGGAGGTGGCTGTCTGGAAGGAAGTGGGGGAGGCTTTATCCAGGAGGGAGGCGGGAAGGGGAGGTCAGCTGTCAGGTGTCCGTCCACAAAGCTGGAGGCCTCGGGGACAGGAGACACCACGACGGTGGGCGGTGGGGTGGGGAGTACATCTGTCAGCTCGGGCACAGGAGCCCGGCCAGGGACGGGCGGTGGGCATGAGGAACACCCGCAGCTGACCAGTGGGGAGGGGAGCGCGGCCACCCAGGCCGATCATCTGGCAAGAGCAGGGCTCCCCAGCCCAGGCAGAGCCCCGGGTGTGCCCACCACCCAGCAGTCGGACCACTCTGAACTGGTGTGTGGGAAAGGCTGGCCGGGGGTGTAGAAACCTTGCCACGGGCATCAGGAGACAGCCAGACTCCTCCAGCCCTGTCCTCCCCGCCAGGATGGTTTCTACTCCAAATGTCCTTGAGAGGGTTAGACGCCCAATTTCCCCAGAAAAGAGGCAGCGTTTAGCACCGACTAGTTGTGTGGGGCAGCCCCTGCTCTGGTGCCCTCTGTGGCCTGGCGCTTCCCTACATCCTCCTTGTTAAAGCCACAGCTTGTGGGGGGGTGGGGTGGGGAGCAGGTGTCACAGAGCCAGGGGCGCCTCTCCAAGCCTCTCTCTGTGGGAGGAAGAAACCTAAAGGAACCTGAGCAGCTGCCCAGAACATTCTGAGTGTCCAGTGAATGTCTGGAGTCATGTCTCTTCAAGGGGCATTTTGGGGCCGTGCCCCTAGAAAGGAGGAGGCAGAGTCCCTACGTCATGCTCCATCCCCAGTGTTGCATGGGGGTCCATCTGTGGCCCCAGTTCCCGTGGCCTCCGTACACCTCTCTGAGAGCTGCAGTTCTCTGGACAGACCTCAGGGGTTTGCCAGCGATGCCTCCCAGCCCCAGGAAGCCTGGCCGGGGGACCCCCGCCCAGAAGGACTGTCCCTGCAGGGGCCCAGCACAGGGAGGGGCGCACCTGCACGTGCCGCAGCTGCACCTGGGTGGGGCGGCACTGCACGTTGCGGTTGTTGCAGCAGCCGGAGCAGCGCTGCACCTCCACACAGGGCGGCCACACCAGGAAGTTGGCGTTGGTGCGGTCTATGAGGCGCCGGGAGATCTCGAACACCTCGGTGCGGGTCTTGCACTCGGCGATCATGGCTGGCTCGGCCACAGTCGGGGCGCCTGGAGGGAAAGGGGCCCTCCGTCAGGAGGGTGGGCGGGCCCAGAGCCCCCCGCCTGGTAGGCAAGCCCAGTGGGCACCTCTGGGACTTTGGCCAGTGGCTGGTGGGCTCCAAGCCTCAGTTTCCCCGTGTGCGAAATGGGGATGAGATCTACACCCATAAACCTCTGTAAGGACCCGGTGAGATGATTCAGGGAGCTCTGGCCTGCTGCCAAATCAGTTTCCTTGCACCATTTTATTCTATGACTTGATACATTTGTGGCTTTGGCCTACACCCCTTCCTCATGCCTTATCTTGTAGCCACTTTTGCATTGCTTCATCTATGGTTACATGGTTGCTTCTTTCGAAGCCTTGGTTTCCTCCTTTGTGAGATGGAATAACAGCACTTATACCACCCTGGGTGATCTAAAAACAGTATGGGTGCAGCCAGGCCTGCAGCAAGCACACAATCAAAGTGGAGGCTACTGCCATTATTGACATGCGGAGAAATTGAGGCTCCCTGCTCAAATGCACAACTCAAATCGGGGAACACAGGCCACATGCCACTCCGGAAGTTCCCCAGCCACTGTCTACCATGCGCTGGGGACTGCAGGGGAGCAGAGAAGAGGTGGGCACTTGCCTCCCCTGGGCAGCCTTTCAGTCTCTGTCAGAGTAGGAGGTGGGCCCCAGTCTCTCCACACGCCCTTGTGCCAGGCTGCAGCCCATAACTCCAGTGGAGACACCCCCCAGGACGGCCTCAGGGTACAGCAAGAAGCGCTAATTGCGACCTCAGCCTAAGCCCTTGCTGGCTGTGGGTCCTTAGCGACTTCCTGGCCCTCTGCGGGCTCAGTTTCTAACTCTGTAAAATGGGGTGAAGAATATCTTCACTCCAGAGGTGAAGTAATGAGCAAATGAGTTTCAAACCACTCTATTTAGGAAACGGGGAGGGGCTGGGGTGGACGGGATGAGTCAGCTCCTCCATAGAGTGTATTTAAGGGTGGGTATATATTCTCTTAGCTCAACTCTGTCCTTAATGTGGGACAAACAGCTCCCCGGCCTCGGGCTGGCTGCTGCCCCCTCTCCAGCCCGGCCCTGTCCTTCCAGGGGCTGAGCTTCGGCCTTACCCAGGCTCCTCCTCCCTCGGGACAAGCTCTCCAGCTCGCCTCCAGGATGCAACCGGGTCAGGTTCAGATCCAGCTCCGCCCCGTCTTCATCTGTAAGAGAAGGTCTGGTCAGTGGCACCTTGGGGACTCCCGTGGGGGGATCTGGGGTAGGCAGAATTGCTTCATGACCCCGACACCCCACTCTAGAGCACAGACTCCCCTTCCAGCTCCTTGAAACCGCAGGGTCCCACCCCTGAGGAGGAGCCCATGAGGCAAACCCCAGGGTGGCCACTCAGAAGGTGGTGGGACCCTGACTTCTCCCGGCTCTCCCAGGCCTTCAATCCTTGTCAAAACTCTTCAGCCACATTTTTTGGACAGAACCCATGTCAATGGAGTTAAAAATAACCCTGCCCCTTTGCTACTGTAAGTGAACCCTCCTCGGCCTCCAGGGCAGGGCGAGGCCCGGGAGCTCTGAAGGCGGTTTCCAGTGCCCCTCCGCCCGCGTTCCCATAGGAAGTGCAGAATGGAGAACTTCCCAGAATCCCCAGGGGGGCCGGCAGGCCCTGGACACAGCCCCTCTGGAGCCCCAACAATGGCCGGTTGGGCGAGAGAGAAGGAGGGAAGGAGATGGGGATGAGGGCTGGAGGCAGAGAAAGGGGTGTAGAGGGCCCTCTGGGCTAGGGGGAGCCCTCACCCCGCATTATAGCTCCAGGTTCTCCCCATCTAGCTCCCCGCTCTCTCGCCCCCAGGTTCTCATCACGCCCCTCTCTCGGGCTCGCCCGCTGACCGGTTGCCCAGCCTCTGCCCCACGCAGCCCCACGTGCCTGAGGTCACCCTGCAGGGCCCTTCTCGGGCCTGGAGGGCCCTTCCTCATCATTGCTCCTTAGAGACACCCCTCTCTCTAAAGAGGGTGCTGGCAGCCACGGCGGGAGGCGACAGTGGGCCAGGGGACTTGGAGCTCCACCCCGGCTCAGGGCAGACCCTCGAGCTGTGTGATGGCTGAAGAGCAGCAGACAAACCGAGGGGTGTCGGGGACAAGCTCCCGGGCCCTGCGCGCCCTGCCTCGGCTCACCCTGCGCCCCCAGCTCGTGGCCAGCGACGGAGCCTCCCGCCGCAGGAGACTGTCCCGGCCCCGCCACGCGCCCAGCCTCGCGCCCAGCCCCGCGCCCAGCCCAGCGCCCGCCCGCGCCTCCCGCCGCCTTCCTTGCTTTCTCCCTGCATCTCCGGAACGTCCCTGGTGGGGAGGAGACGGGGAAGATGTGCTCTGTGGAAAGGTTAGGCTGGTTAGGAAAAAATAGCCACAGGGTTGCCTCGAAACAGGCCGACTATTGAAAACCCCGACCCCCACCCGGGGTGTGGAGGGGCTACCCGAGGGTGGGGAGAGGGCCTTGGAAAGCAACAGCAGAAAGAAAGGCTAAATTTGGAAGTTGCCCCATTGTGTTGGCCAGGGCTGGCCAGTCGGGCATGGGGGGGGGGTGTGGGAGACGGCGGGTGGGGGGCCTGGTGAACAATAGGTGGGCCCAGCTGGGGCCCCCTCCCGCCTGCCTCGCCTGCCTCACCAGCCCCCCGGCACAGACGGGTTTGAAAGGGCCCGGGAATGCTTTTGAGAGGGAGCCAGGGGCCCAACGGGGAGAGGAGACAAAGGCAGGAAATGCTGTCCCCCGTAGATAGCAGTCTGGGCAAGGATTACAAAGTGACAAAGAGACAAGACCCCAGAGGGAAGGGGAGCTGGGGGTGCAGGGAGGGGGGTGCTGACCAGGGCTCCAGGGAACAGGCCAGAGGTTAGAATAGAATGGAATTTGCTCTGAAGACAGCGTTTATAAATACATTCCCGACCCAGCCCGCCAGCCCCGCCACGTGTGTGCCACCAGGCACGTGCCCATTCGCCAAGCCTGCTCGCGGGCACGGGCAGGGCTGCCCGCTAGTCTGGGCCAGGTGTCCCGGGGAGACCTCACCGCCCGGGCCCTCCTCCAGAGCGCAGGGAGATGGCTGCTCTGGCACCTCCCGCCCTGGCTGGGTCCACACCTGGATGCGTTCTCTGCAGATGCCCTGGGCACCTTCTCCCCGCCCCCTCCTCCAGCACCCCACCCTCTGCACCAAGCCAGAGCCACATGTGGGTGCTTCTCCTGCCACGCCCCACATCCCAGGTAGCAACCCGCCCGCCTACTCTGTCCTGTCCTGCCCCGGACAGGCACGACCGAGTCCTCCCGGGCAGCCGTGGACTCTGGTTCTCTCGATGTCAAGGAAGAGGGGACACCCCCCAACCGGCTCCCAAGGTTCAGGGACAGCCAGAGAACTGGGGGAGTCAATTACCTACGGAGTGTCCATGCAGCAGGCGCTGGAGGTCATCGAAGGAGCGGATCGAGTGGTCACTCAGCATTTCGTAGAGCTCCTCGGGAATGGGATCCCCCTGCAGGCAGACACAGTGGGGGATGAAGTGAGCTGGGAGTGATGGCTCCCCGCAGGGGGGCGGAAATGACTGGTCAGTCTCCACCTAGCCTACCCCCGCAGCTCAGGCTGGGCAGACCCTCACTGCCCCCCCCAGGGAGCCCGGGTTGCTTTAACTGACACTTGGTGATGTCCATCTGTCTCCTTCATCACCAGGCATGTGCTGGAGGCCCCAACAATCCAATGTCCCTCTCAGCCCCCCCACACCTGACAGCTAGGACAGCCAGCGTTTGTCACAGGACATCCGAGTGCCCCCATTTTACAGATGAGAAAACAGGCTCGAATACAAGACGCCCTCAGTCCGAGTCCAGCGGCAGCAGAACCTGCCTTCAAACCGAGTCTTCCCACGAGTGTGGTGCCCAAGGCTGGGAGGCCCCACGCACTCACAGGATCTCTTCAGTCTCTCATTCAGAGGAGAGGGGGGATCTTCAGAACCAGCCCGGCCGGGGAACCTGAGAGACTACCATCCACCATGCCTAACCAAACCCTATTTTTAGAGCCCCTCTGGCCTGTTACCAAAAACACTCGCGATGTAACACACACTTCAACAGGCTCTGCGCAGAGCCGGGTTTCCTCCAGGGAAACCACAGGCCCCACAATGACATGAGAGCAGCTTGATAGGAAGGTCACAGGCCACACCCCCCGTGGTGTGAGGAGCCCCTGAGGTTGGTACCAGGGGCCTGAGAGCAAGGTGAGGGAGGGGGGTGCTGAGCAGCACCACCTGGACAGTGTCTGGGGCAAAGAAAATGCGTCAGATGCTGCCTCATGGGAGAAGGCTCAGACCCTGACGGCACACCCCACAGGACGGCACAGTCTTTGGAAGGAGCTCTGGACAGGTCATCCGCAGACCTGCCCTCTTACCGTTGAACTTGGCCTAAACCACCGTGGGCCTCAGTTTCCTCAGTTAAGAGGGGAGCAGCTCCTCCCTGGCAGGTTCCCTGACCACTCCTGGTACCTGAATTCTGAGGGTCCTCAGAGGCTGCCTCATGCCTCGGCAGGGGAGGACAGGTCATCCTGGTTGGAAGCCTGGTGATAGCTCAGTGTGCAGCTAGCCTTCCCCACTCTTGGGCGGATGTCTAGAAATGCCTAGAAACACCTCCTCCAGGGGTCGGTCCATCCTGCCTGCCTCTGGCCATCCTCAGGCACAACAGCTTTACCAACAAATTGCTTGAAACCCCCGAGCTCAGTTTCCTCCTTCGAACGTGGAGTTTAAAGCCCTCCCTATGTCGGGGGCTGTCGAGAGTTCGAGCAAGGAGAGGGTGGGGCCTAGCAGTAAGCCTGGCTGGGAGCGGGTTTCTGCTTCAGGGGCTGCCAGTATGGGGCGGAGAAGGGGCATCTTGGCTCTGCCCGCCTGTGCCAGGGGAGAGGCCACACCTTTGGTGTGTGTCCAAATGGGACCCATGCCCCAAGTTGGTGGAAGATGGGAGGCTGGTCTCAGCTAAGCCCAGAACTGGCAGTCCAGAGAGTGCACTGCTGCCGACTGCGCCACGCCCTCAGGCTGGCCCCTCTGGCCCCGCTCTGCTGCAAGGGACGGAAGAGGAGCACTTGGTTCAATATTGAGTCGCCTGGGGGTGGCAGGAGAAGCAGCAGAGGGAAACCAAGGGCAGGGGTGCCCAGCCAGGTCCCCCAGGCTGCTTGTGGAGTAATGATTCAATTAAGTCCCCAGGAGACGGGCCCCAAGACTGGGTGCCAAATGGCACTTCCTGCTCCTGCCAAGACCTCCTCGCCCACTGGAGTGCTGCCTGCAGCTCCGAGCTGTGGCGGAGCAGCCGACCCCACTCAGCCTCCGTGGGCGGCCACGACCTGGCCCACAAGGCAAAGGACGACAGAGGCAGGTCTGCCAAAGGCGAGTGGGGAAGAGCCTAGGACAGAGGCAGGAGCGGGGAGAGGCACACAGCAGGTGCCAAATAAGTACTGCTACAAGGCATGGGGATGCCCGTTCTTCCTGGGGGTCTCTCCAATGGGATTCTCCCAACTGCTCCCCCAGGAAAACCATATTCCCTCTTATCCCCCCCCAAGCAAATTGCCTCCTAAGGAGTCCACTTTGTTCTAAGCAGGGAGGCCATTCCTGCCCCTACTTCTGGTGATGTGGCCACTGGAAGACCAGGCCTCATTAAGAGGAGTTGATAACAGTACCACAGCTCACTTGTATTAAATGCCAAGTGCTGTACCAGGGACCGGTCCTGGGAGGAAGGCGTTTATCTTCACCCCCATCCCTCCCAGATGAGGAAACTGAGGCTTGCGGTAAGGAAATGGCTACAATCTACATGACCTGGAAGTGGCAGGACCAGGCCCTCCCAGGCACCCATCTTCCAGCCCACCTGCTGCTCCTGTTCAGAGGCCTCTGGCCCTCAGCATCCCCTGCAACCCAGCAGCTCCCTCCTCCTCCGAAGCACGCCACAGCTTCTCAGGCAGGGCGGGTGGGCCTCCGGCGGACACTGGCCACACCTGGGGCACTTTGGTGGTCACAACTGGAGGACGGTTACTAGCGTCTAGGACGTGGAGACCAGTAATGCTGCACGTCCAGCCAGGCCTGGGCAGCCTTCCACCTAGAGGCACACCCGCCCCGCAGTGTCACTAGAGCAGAGGTGGAGAGTCTGTCGTACGAGAAAGAGCCGGGCTCAGGCGCCAAGGAAGCTGGTTCTGAGAAAGTTGTTCTTTTTTTTTTTTTTTTTAATCTTTTAGTATCTTTTAAGTGGGGCTACTGGAGGACCACTGAGTGAGTGGAGGGGTCCTCATTCACTCCTTCAGCAGCCAGCAGCAGGCCCACCCGCGCCCAGCAGGGCTGGGCACTTTCGAGGCTGACAGTGGTGGTGGAGAGGTGCTTGCCCACAAGGAGTGCAGGTTTTGCATCATCCCCTGAGCTGGGCCACCGAAAGTGACACCCCAGGCCCACACTGGCACTGCCTGGGAGCTTGTGGGCTGGCGGGTGCCTTCCAGGCCGAGGGTGGGTGAGGAGTCAGTCAGCTCTGCTTGGGGTCCCGGCTCCTCTGGGAGGACCAGCAGCCCAGAGTGAGGTTCTCTTGGAACCAGGTTCTAGAAGCACCTGTGGGCAGTGCTCCTCGAAGATGGGAAAGAAGGCCTGGCATCCTGATGAAGCTGCCCCAGATCTCAAGCCGGGGGTTCCTAGCAGGAGGAGGGCGTGGCGAGAAGGCAGTTGGGGCAAAGCCAGCCACAGGAGCCAAGGCAAACAGCCTCCTCCCTACCCTACCCCACCCCCAGCGCCAGCTGCAGAAGGTAGGAAGGGCAGGAGCATGAGGCCAGGTGAATTACCTGCTCCCTACCAGCCTGCTAGATCAAAGGCGCTCGGACCCCACCCTCCACCCGGGCCCCAGCGCGCGCACACAAACACACACTCCCCAGCCTGCCTGCCTTTCAGCTGAGGGCGACGGCAGGGCTCAGTCCAAGCAGCCGGGGCGTTGTCTGTGGCTGGCAGGGGGAGAAGTTGACAAGGCTTCTGAGTGCCTGCCTGCCTGCTAGTCTCAGGCCTGATTTCGAGCTGATGCCAAAGCCAAGCCCTTTGAAGAAGCCTTCTCTGGGCAGACCACAGAAGCCATTTAGAACCAGCCTTTCCCACCTAGCACAGCCCTTCCGATGGCCCCTGGGACTCTCCTACCCCGCACCTCACGTTAGCCCGGCTTCCCACTGGCCTGTCCACCACCCACTCCCTTGAGCCAGAAAACCAAACCGTGAGGGTAGAAAATAGGCCCGGCAGCCATTGTAATTATTGCCCCCCACCACCACCCCCAGGCCTCCACCTCCCATTCCCAGCAAGGGGGGGTCAGGGGAAAAGAGAACAGACAGAAATCTGTATTTTCAAAAGACCAGTTAATCCTGTTGCTCTCAGGAAACTGAGCTAATTCAGCTTTCTCATTTTTTTTTAGGCGGTGGAAACTGAGGCCCAGCTAATAGAGCCACAGAACCTTTGCAATTTTCTGATTTTCCTTCTGTCCCACCCCCCTCTGTCCTGTTCAAATCCCCCCCCCCAACGGAAAAGAAAGACATGCTTATCATTAAGATGGGGCTGGGGGCCTCCAAAGAGGCCTGCCTGCTTGGGGGCCAACGTGGCCACGGCGGCCACCCCAGGCGAGGACTAACCGAGGCCGTGTTTATGAAGCACTTAGCAAGCACTAGACATGTCTGGTCCTTCCCTCCCCCCACCAGGATTCACTGTCCTTTCTACAAATATTTACAGATCATCCACCGTGGGAGACAGTGGTGACTGAGACAAAGGCTCTCCAGTGGAGTTTACGCGCTGATGAGGGAAAACAGACAGTAAACCAGAAAACGAAAATAGTTGATCCAGAAGGGGCATTTCAATGGGGGGAGGGGAGTCAAGGGAAGACTGAGATGGACTGGTGAGGGCCATGGCCAGTACTTCCTTAACGTTCCTGCTGAGTCCACTGCTCTCGCACCCCACGCACCCCTATATGCACCCCACACACCCCACACACCACTCGTGCTCCACACGTACACCCCATACACCACATATCCCCCGCTCCACACATACCCCACACCATATATACCACAACACACACACACACACACACGCACATCCCTAGGTCTTGCACCAGAGCATCCCATTTCTGTTTGATCCTAACCTTGCACACACTCTTCCAGGCCTGAGAGTCCTCCCACCACCTGACACCATTAGCAAACCAGGAGAAAGTTGCCTGGTAAGGGCTGTGGGGTGCTGAGGCTGGAGGCCTTGCCTGTCAGGAGGATCCCCAGTCCTGGAAGCCAGCTCAGCTGACAGAGGTGGGACCTCACAGGCCTTGCAGACCCTGCACATCACCCACCGCAGTGCTCCCATCCTTCCCTCCCGCCTGCCGAGGCCTCCACCTGCACTCAGTGGCGCACGCCTGTGCCCTGGCCAGCCCGGGGCCGCCCCACCAGCCAGCTTCCCCAGATTCTCCCTTCCTGGACTAGCCCCAAATCATGTCTTCCCAGCTAAGGCTCACGCAGGCTTCACAGGAAAGCGCTGGGCACTGCAGGACACCGCACAATTGCAGCTCCAGAGGCTGGCGTGTATTTAGGGTGTGGTGAGCAAAGCCAAGAAAGCACCAGCCTCTGTGCCACGGACTCCCCCAAACACACACCACGGAGTGGTGGGGAAGGAGAAGAGGTGCTGATCAGGCTGGAAGTGGTGGGGCAGCCCCAGAAAGCCTGATCCAGTCGCCAGGAGCCTCTGCAGAGCACACGGGGGTCAGCACAGAGGATGTGCAGGCAGGAGCCAGCGCCCCTCACCCGCCGCCAGCCCTCCACCCTGGAGGCTCCAGCCGGGGACTGTTGGAGGGAGAGATGCTCTGGACATCACAGCTGCCCCCCATCACATCAACACCATTTTCGGTCACACTGGCCTGGGGGGTAAAAAACCACTTAGGAGAGGGCACCCTGGGCTGACAGCACCTGGCAGAAAAAAAGTGGGTGCTGTGAAGCCCCTAGAGGACGGCTCCTGTTTCCCCTTCTCAGAGGACCCGGGAAGAAAATGGGGTCACCGCAATGGTGAGGTTCCCGGGCCGCCGTGGGCCCACCTGTTGCGCGGGGGTGGCATCTGGCGGGTGTGCAGGGGCCGTGCTGCCCGTGCGTGCGTGCACACGTGCTCAGCCGCGTGTGCGGGGCCGGCGTGCGTCCGAGTGCGGTGCGCGCGCGTGTGGCCCCGCGTGTGCTCGGGCGTGGCGCGGCGGGCGCGCGACCCGGCCGCGGTGGTGCGTGCCCGGCGCTCTGCGTGCCCGCGGGAGCGCAGCTTCGCCGCCGGCCGAGCGTGTGCACGCGAGGGGTGAGTGCGGGCCGGGGCCGGCGGGGTGGGCTGCGAGAGCAGCGGCGGGGCGCGCCTCCCAGGACGCCCCGGCCCCGGCCCAGCCCCGCGGCGGGGCGAGGCGAGGCGAGGCGGCAGCTGGGGCGCCGGCACCCCCTCCCCGGCAGCCGGCGGCGGCCCGGGGCTGCGGGAGCGCGGAGGGGCCTCGGGAGGGGCCCGCGGGCGGCCGGGCCGAGCCCCCAGCCTCCTCCCGGGCGCGGGCCGCGGGGTGGCCGCGGAAGGGCGGGCCCCGGGGCGGGAGGCCGGCGGCCCTCGAGGAGCCCCGAGAACAAAAGGCGACGCCGACGGCCCCGCCGCGGTCAAAACAACCTGCGCGGCGGCGGCCCCAGGCCCGGCGGGGCGCGGAGCCCGGCGCCTTAACCCCTTCGCCGCCGCCCGCCCGCGCCTTGCGGCGGCCCGAGCCCGGCCGACCCTCCCGGGGCCGGGACCCCGCGTCCCCGCGGCCGCGCCCCTCCCCGCGCGCGCCGCCGCCCGCCCCGCCCGCCCCGCCCCTTCGCACCTGGATTCCGGGCGGACCTGCCGGCCCGCGGCCGCGCGAGGCGGGGAGGGACGCGGGCCTGATCCGACCGGATCGTCCCCGCAGACGCTCCCGTACCCCCCCCCCGCGGCTGGGCTCCGCCGGCTGCGCGCCCCGCGCCCCCGAGCGGGGAGAGGCGCCTCCTCGCGCGGGGCGCGGCGCAGGTACGGGGCCTGGGGCGCGCCGCGCCGGGGCTGGATTCCTCAGGAGCCCCTCCTCCCCGAACCTGAGCTCCCGAACCTGTCTCCCCGCGGCCCCCCCGCCCCGCCCCGGGGCCTGAGAGCCCCGCCGCCCCGGGCAGGACATGCCCCGCGGGGCCCGAGGGCGCCCGCCCCGGCCGGAGCTGGAGCCTGGGGGGGGCGCAGCCCCCCGCGGGAGGCTGGCGGGGCCGCCGCCGGCTCGCGAGCCCGCACCCCGCGGTCCAGGGAGAACCTCAGCTGGAGCCTCGGTGGGGTCGGGAAGGCGCCTGCCTTCTGCGCCCTCGGCGCCGCCAGCCCCGCGCCCTCCGGCCGGGCGGGGGTCGCTTCCCCGGGCCCTGGGGGGGGGGCGCCGGGCCCCACGCCCGCCCCCGCCGCTCGGAGGCTCGGGATCCCGCGGGAGAGAAGCCCCGCCGTCCCCTCCCTCCAGCGCCCGGCACCGCCCGAGCCTCCGTCCGGCCCCGGAGGTCATCCGGTGCCCGCGGCCGGGCGCGCGGGGTGCCCAGGGGCCGAAGTTCACCGCGGCGAGGAGGGGCGCCGGGGGGCGGGGGCCGGGAATGCCGCGGGGCGGCCCAGGCGCGGTCGCAACTCACCTCGGCGCTGGCCAGACGCAGGTAGCAGCAGAGCGGCAGGAAGAGCGCCCAGCAGCGATTCATGCCGACTCCCGGCCCGGCCCCGCGGGGCCCCGGACGCGTGGACCGAGCGCGCAGCCCCCGCGGCCAGGGTGGGGGGCGGGGGCTGGGGGGGGAGCGGGGCTCGGCTCGGGGCCGCGGCGCTCAGGCGCTCAGGCCGCTGCAGCCGCCGCCGCGGCTCTCCCGCATGGCCCCCGGGCGCAGCCGCCCCCGGCCCCGGCTCCGTCGCTGGGGGGCTGCGGAGGGCCTGGGCGCAGGACCCGGGTCCGAGGCCGCTACCTGGGCGGATCCCGAGCCCGAGCGAGCATCCACGGCCGGGGGGCTGCGTCGCGAGCCAGCCGAGGCGTCTAGCCGTGTGGGGGCGCCCCGGGGACTCCAACCTCCGAGAGGAGCGAGAACGCGGCGGTCGCTGGCTCGTCCTCCCGCGCCGGCTGCGGGCGCTTCCCTCTGCCCGCCGGCTCAGCTTTTTTGCAACATTTCCCGGAAAGGTCCGCGGAGTCGGGAGGCGCAGAGCCGCGCGCCTCGATGTCACCGTCTCCCCCAAAAAACTTTTTCCGAAGTTGGCGTGGCGGGGCCGGCCCGAGCGCCGGGGCGGGGAGCGGGGCAAACTCGCGCCCGGGCCGGGCGGGGGGCGCGGCGCGTGTGCGCCCTGGCGCGGGGCCCGGGCGGCGGGCACGGCTGCTCGGCGCGCGCGGCGTGCCCGCTGCGCCCTGGGCCGGCCCGGCGGACAGGTGGCCGCGCCGCGGGCCCGTCGGGTCGTCGGGTCGTCCGGCCGCCGGCTCGCGGCCCCGGGCGTCCTCTGCGGCTGCGGCTGCTCCGGCTTCCTCTTCGCCGCGAGCCCGGCGGGTGGGCTTTTCCCCCTTTTTGCGCGCGTGTGTCTGTGTGCGCGCAAAATCTCTCTGTCGGGGATGAAAGAAGGGCGCTGGCGGCCGCCGGGGAGCCCTCGGGCAGCGGCGGGGGAGGCTGCGGGCGCGCGGGGAGGCAGGCGGGCTGCTCCCGGCGGCAGGAGGAGAAGTTGCCACCCTTTCAGCTGTTCCGGCCTTTATAAAGGAGAAACGAAGGTGGGTGGAGACAGCCTTTCCTCTTCTGGCCGGGAGTCAGCACCGGGAGGGAGGGGTGGGCGGTGGGGGCACGCGGAGGGCCCGAGGCAGGGCGGGGCGCCCAGGGGGTCTCCGAGACGCGCTCAGCCCCGGTGTCCAGGACCTGACCCCAGGGAAGGGAGAATTAGGGGCAACCAGCCGCCCCGCCCCTCAGACGTTGACCGTGGCCTGGTTTCTAGCCCACGTGGTTGGAGGGCGGGGGGATGGATCCAGGGCCGGGCGTCGGAGCCCACCTGCAGAACCTGCCTTTGCACCCTGGGAACCGCCGGCTGCTGGGGGACTCGGCCTCTCTCTGCAGCTCGGCTCTGATTCTGCCCAGAGGCTGAGCAGATGGGTCACCTTGGGCAAGTCACTTCCTTTCTGTGGTCCTCTAAGCGGAGTAGCAAGATTGTGAGGATGTCATGCCAGAAAAGGCAGAAAGCGCCCAGCCTCACGCCAACCACAAGGGGATCGCACAGAACCCCACAGCAGGTCCATTCAGCCGCAGACCGGTCCGTCTCCTCCTCCTAGCTGGTTGCCTGGCACACCACAGGCACTGCCGGTGTTGGCTGAATCGGAATTTGTTGAACTGCAAAGTCACACAAACCCCCACAACCCTGCAGCATCCTCACAGCCGCCATCATGGTGTTTACTACCGCCCTCAGCCCCAGGTTCCAGGCCCAGGGGCCCCCCACCCACGCCCCGCATTCGCACAGTTAACGCCTTCCGCCCCCAGCTCTGGGAGCTGCTGCGTCCCTGCCCTCAGCAGTCACACTCACAGAGTCACACGCGCGCCTGCCAAGCCCAGCACCCACCCGGGCCCGCAGGCTCACTGCACCGCCTGGCTCCTAGCTTCAAGACACCTTCACCTGGGCCTCCCTTGGGGGTGTCAGCCTGCTCCTCTCGCATGCACACCCCCTCCGTCCCTGAGAGGGCCTCACCACCTCCTCGTGGCTGTCTTCTTGGACCCGAACAAAGGTGGCTCCCTGGGGGAGGATTTCCAGGAGGGCTTCTTCACAAACGACAGCCCTGTCTGTCCGTAGCACCCAGGCAGCCTGGCACGTGAAGATAAATGGGCAGCTGGAGGGAGCAGTTCAAAAGGCACAGGAGGATTTCAGGGATGATGCAAATATTTGCCCACTCTGCTTGTGGTCCTGGGTTTCATGGGCGTGTGTGTGTGTGTGTGTGCACGTGTGTGCGTGTGCGCATGTACATATGAAAATTGATGTATGTGACTTATCGTCCCCCAATGCAGCTGTAAAGGAATTTTTAACTACCTCTGAGAGGCCTGGAGGCTCCAACAAGACCATCCAGTGGAAGCGCGGAGGGCACCATCCCCAGCACAGCTGTCAAAGGTGTCCTCTGCTGCCAGGCATTGCTGTAGGCAGTGGGGGGGCCGGGGAGCCCTGTACAGGTCCCTGCCCTAGAGGAGCCTCACCCCAACAGACAGATGGGCGCATAGACAGGTAGAGGAGGAGACAGGCTGACAGGGAGACTGGGCACAATCCCAGAACTCAAGAGCCCAAGTCTGAGACAGAGAGAAAGCCCTGCCCCTTGGGACAGCTAGGTGGCCGTGACCTTCCGTGACCTTGTCTGGAAAGGGACGATCACAGCTACCATTACCGCTGAGGAGCTGCCGTGTGGGCCATGGCCTTCCACTCTGCGGGTAACCACGCCTCTCGCTGCTCCTGAGCGCGGTCACTCCCATTTCATAAACGAGGAAACCAGAGCACAGAGAGGTTGAGCACCGTGTTCAGGATCACACAGCCAATAGGTGGTAGGGCCAGAACTTGCCCCCAGACGGTCCGGTCCGGCTGCAGAGCCCGGGAGCTTAAACCACCCTGCTGTGCTGTCTCCTGGCGGGTGATGAGATGACCCCGGGACACCTTTTGCACTGGACTTTCGTCAGCATCAGTACACTGACGTATGTGTGAAAGCACTTTGCCAGCTGAACGCACGGAACCAACCTGAGCCCTGACTTACAAAGTGCCGTGGAATGCAGAGGAGGGGCACACAGCTTGGCCTCGGGCTGGATCAAAGGGAGAAAGCAACTGAGAGGTGTCATTGGGCACCTGCTGTATGCAGCCCTTGTGCGGCGCGTTGGGAAATGGAGTGAGGAAGGAGAGCTGCCCGGGCGCCCTGGGACCTCCCGTGCCCTGAGTGACAGAACCATGACCGCCTGCTTCTTCATGCACTGGCTGGAGGTTCAAGACAGGGACGCAGAGGCAGCAGGGACCATGTGACACAGGGGCCTGAACCCCATGCCAGGGAGAACCCCTTTACCACAACCCCTTCTTGCTGACACCGTGGCAATGTGTGGGTCTTTCCACACAATTCTCTAAAGATACCACCTTCTCTTTCTCCTGCTTCTACCAGTCTTGGCTTAGCCAGCACCTCCTGCAGGAAGTCCTCCAGGCTTGGTCCTTGCTCTGGGTTTCCACAGCATGTAACCGGTGGTAATGTCATAGCCCATTTGTGGGCCTAGCACTGGACTGGACTCTGGGTAAGTGGACATACACTTTATAGTAGTTACTCAATAAATGCCAAAAAAATGAACAACTGAATGAATATTTGCCTATTTCTTCCTCTGATTTCTGGCTTCTTGGTGCAAAGACTTCAGACCCAGCCTGGAGGGTGGACAGAGGTGGACAGAGTGGACAGAGAGGACAGGGTGGACAGAGAGGAGACTTGTATCTTAAGCCTTTAAACTTAGCTCGTACCTGAAGGGCACCCTCCACGCACACACCTCACAAGGCCCAACCCATCTTTGGCACTGGGGCCAATGAGGAATCAGGCTTTCCAGTAGGGCTGGTAGTGGGTTGTTCGGGGTAGCGGGCCAAGCCCCCCTGAGCTCATTATCCCTCCTCCAGCCAGGTCTGAGCCAAATGGGAAGTCAAGTGACCACAGCCTTCAGCTAAGTGGCAGTAGGCGGCCAAGGCCAGGACTTTTAGACTGTTAACCGCCATCCGTGTTCTTGGCTGTGAAAGCACCTTCCTCTGTGGGAGGGGCCCAGGGCCAGGGAGGCCATTGGCTTCAATCCCGGGGGCTGGCGTGGGCCCTCAAGTCCAGAAGAATGAGAATGACATGTCCGGGGTACCCCACTCTGCCAAGAAGGCCCTGCAGCACCCCTCCCAATCAGAACCTGCTTTCTAGAAGGCCAGCGAAGGGGTGCTTGGTGCTGGGGGAAGCACTGGTCTGAGGGTCGGTCACGTGGGGTCAGACATCACCACTTCGCAGAACTCCCACAAGTGCACCCACCCTCCCGTCCCCCACCCAGCCACCCGACAGCCCAGGGAGCACAGAGCGTAGTGTCCCCACTGTGCGCACAAGAAAACTGAGTCCCGCACACATCACACGGCTTCCCAGATTCCCTTGCTGAGAAAGTAGTGGCGCCACGATTGGGAGTGGGGCCCTGGCTTCAGAACCCACCTCGCGGGGCGGGCTGCCTCGCCCGGCCTGATCCCGGGGAAGTGGGGCTTGGCGCTGGCCAGTCACAGGCAATGCCACAGACTCAGACGGCCCAGACCTGCCCAGCCTGGGCTGCACGGGCAAGGTCCACTCCCGCCCCCACCCCCGCCCCCATAGCTGCAGTCAGCTCCCAGACCCTGGGCTGCCTGTCCCCCACCACCACCCGCTGGCAAGGCCTCCGTCCTGCTTCTGTCATTCTGTCATTGCAGGTGAGGAGCCCATGGCCCGCCATGCCCCTCACTAGCCCGTGGCCTTGAGCTAGCCCCGGCACCTCGCCGAGCCTAGTCTGATCTACCGCTGGGAGTCAAATGAGTTCATTCATCCCGAGTGTTGAAAGCCAGAGCGAGCACCCCACAAATACTGGTGGTTGCGCGATCCTTGTCGCTCTGAGCTGTGTGCGCACACGCCCGCCTGGGAACTCCAGAGAGGGGCTGAGGAGACGAGCCCAAGACTGGGAAGGTCACAGGTAGGGGGGTGTCCACACAGACCCCCCCATCCCGGTGAGGGGTCCCCAAGCTCTGGCCACAGCAGCGGTGAATACCAGGGGGGCAGGAGAGACCCCAGGAAGGAAGGCAGACAGACCCCAGGCCCCGGCCGGCCTGGGAGCCCAGGCGAGCCTCGGTGGCCTTGGGCCTGTGTCCTGTAGACAGCGGCGAGGGAAGCGCCGTGTTTGTTTTCCTGGGGCCGAACCGACGCATTTTTAGCTCCTCCAGTCTCCAGACGAGGAAGAGGATGTTTGGACGGGGAGGCTCAGATCTACCTGCCCTGGAAGCTGGCTGGAAATGGAGCGAAGCCCCCCGGGAGCTGGGCCAGACTGGGCTGGGGGGTGGCCCTGCTGGGGCTGCCGGCTCTCCCCAGAGACAGCCCTGCCTCACCACGCCCCGGCCGCCCCTCCGCTGGCCTGGAGTCCACGGCTGAGCTTCCCCGCCTGCGGCAGAGCTCTGCCCGCGCACTTGACGGGAACCTACCCCGCAGGAGGCTGGCCGAGCCCCTGCTGCTCCCAGGGCTGCTGCCCTCGTCCAGACGTGGGAGGGGCTGAGAGGA